CATCAACGTAGTCTGAAGACTTCCTCCACCGCTGCCAGTGAGCAACGGGCTTTACAAATAATTAAACTGCGTTAACGCGTTATTATCGCGTTAACTTGCCCAGCACTACTTAAATATAATAGAACGTGTATTTATTGCCCCTATGGACCTTGTTATAGGAGGTAAAGATCAGGAGAAGTGAACATGAAGTGTAATTATGAATACTGATGTTAAATTAAGAGTGTCTTTTATTTTGTAGAAAGCGTCTTCACTAACAGATTATATTTACTTTGGTAGACGGAGAACTAAACAGCTTCCTGTTTCAGACTTTCACAATAAAAGCAGTTAAACATCAGCTGATCTAATCACAGTTTAAACCTCTTTTATCAATAATCAAACTCAGGGTTCTGTTTTATTGATCAATAAAACAGCTGAATAGTAACTTTTCTCTGAGGTACAGTGTGTCTGCGGTTGTGTGTGTGTGTGTGTGTGTGAATATTATACATGAAATAATCAGGTGGACGCGCTGCACATTTAAAGGGCCAGCGCACATATTTGTACACAGTGGATGAATCCTGGTTCACGTGTCAGATCTTCATCCGCCGCTGAAAATAGTCCCGACATCATCGTCTCCACTTCCTGTTTGTTTGATCTTCAGCTGTTCGTCACGGTTACTGTTGCTAGGCAGCTGAGCACCTCAGAGCTGCAGCAGCTGCTGTCCACCTGCTGGAGGAGACGCTGAGGGACAGACAGACAGGTGAGTGTCTTCAGAGAGGACAGACTGGTGAGTGTCTTCAGAGAGGGACAAACAGACAGACAGGTGAACACACCTGCACGTCTCCATGGCAACAGCCGTCCAGCAGTTTGAGACAGAGACACGTTTGATTCATCAGCGTCTGTCTCACTGAGACACTGAGACCACTGTCTGAGGACACGGCAACCAGCAACTTCAAGAGGCAACGCAGCAACACGTCAACACGACACGCCATCCTGAGAGAGAGACAGAGATGATGGTCAGCTGATCAATAATTATTGATTTGTGTCTCAGTGATGTGATGATCAATGTTCACACTGGAAGAGAGTATGATGTCATGAGGGTCCTACTAATGTAACACTACTGTCTCTGTCTCCGTCTCCCCGTCTGTCTCACCGTGGCCAGGCTTCTCTGGTGGTTATCTTCAGGACCTCCAGGATGTTGAGTCGACTCGTCTCCTCAGGTGGGTCTCTGACCTCCAGGTATCCCAGCACCACCCGCTCCACCTGTCTCAGGTGTCTGCACACGGCCACGCCCATCCTGTCCGAGGACATAAAACAAACACACCCTGAGAGGCTGCTGCCACACGCCTGACTCCACCTGCCTGTGGCTCCACCCGCCTGTGGCTCCAGCAGCATAAATCAAGCGCTCCTACCTGTCTATGTACAGAGGGAGGGCAGAGGCGTAGACGCGCCGCAGCGCCACCTTTTGCTCCGCCTCCATGTGAGTCAGGACCAATCGCAGCACGTCATCATGGCGACAGGACGTCCTGCGGGAGGAGGAGGGGCCGAGAGACAAGGGGGGCTTTTCCAAGACCACCAACAGGTCCAAGAGACAGGACAGGGCTGGCTAGAGACAGAGAGACAGAGAGTGAGAGAGAGACAGAGAGTGAGAGAGACAGATTTTGATTTTTAGAAAACCTTTATTTTCTTTGAACATGTTTCTTTATCATTTAAAACGATTAAACAAATAAAGTCCAACAAACATAAATGTGTCTTTGATTGTCTTTAGACTGTGAGATCTGACTCTCACTTAGCACCATCTTCGTCCAGTTCTTTGTCCACTATCTTCTTCAGTCTGAAGCCTTCCTGCTTCGTGAGACCTCCTCTGTCCCTGCTTCTCATGTGAGCTCTGGCAGAGCTGGAGAGCTTCTCTTTGTCAGAGAGGTAGTCCTCCACTTTGGCTCCTCTCACATTCTTACTCCTCTTCAGAAACTCCTTTATCTTCTCCACGCTGTAGTCTCCTGTCTCCTACAGCTGCCATCCCTGTGTTTAGAGGGCTCACTGTCAGCAGCAGCGCCCTCCTCCCGACTGGACTCAGAGTCCTCCTCGCAACTTGACTCAGAGTCCTCTTCCATACTGGACTCAGGGTCTTCCTCCAGACTGGACTCACACTCTGCTGCTCCTCCACTTCCTTTCGTTGCTGCTTTCTTTGCCTGTGAGCTTTCGCTGTCTCCTCTCTGTTTCCTCTTCAGCTGAGGGGCTTTGAGCTGCTCCTCGTCTGCTTCCATGTCCACCTCCCTACCTGTCTCCACCTGTCCTCCAGCACTCTCCCTCACCTCCTGGGTCTCACTTGTTTCCTCCTCCCTCACCTCCTGGGTCTCACTTGTTTCCTCCACCCTCACCTCCTATAACCCTCTCGTCCCCTCCTCCCTGCTCTTTTGGACCCCATCTGTCCCGTCCTGTCCGTCTTGCTTGTCCCCTCTGCCCTCCTCAGTACCTGTCTGGTTCTGGTTCTGGTCCTTATGAGAGCTGTTTTTCTCAGGACACGTTCTGCTCTGATGACCCACTTTTCCACAACTGAAACAATTAAAGTCATCAGTTGTTGCATAAATGAGGTAGTCTAAGTCATCGACCCTGATCGTGAACACTATGTTGAGCCCCTTGCTCCTGTTGTTTGGGATCATGAGCAGCTGTCTCCTGTGAGACACCACGTGCTTCAGGAGAGGAGACCTGCACCCAGAGGACACCTCCTTCACCTTAGACACTATCCTCCCGTGTCTTGATAGTTCTCTGGTTATGTCTTCATCTCTGATGAACGGTGGGACGTTGGACACGGTTACCGTCACAGCCGGTGCAGAGAGGGTAAACGGGGAAGAAGTTATCGCCCACCTCAATCCCGTTGTCAATCACCACTTCCACATGTATGATGGTGTCTAAAAAGATGACCACGCCATTGTTCATTCGCGCAGCGGACTTCACGCTGCTGTGGCCAACAAGTTCACCCACAGCCAGGCTGCATTCCTCCACTGACACCGGGAAAGTCGGCGGGATCTTTATGCCGTGTTTCCTCGTGAGGTCGGTCATGTCCATGGTGGCGTTTAGCAGCCGACAGCACGTGCTGCCTGGCTGCTACCACTCACAAAGACCCTAAAACCAGCTAAAAGATCACCCAAACACCGTGAGATACACCATCACATCCAACGTTAACTAGTGACGAAAAAATACCAAAAAAAATCTGTGTTAATCTCTCTCGAACACGCTCCGTCAACTCTGCACTCCTTCCACTGAGACAGAGAGACAGAGAGAGAGAGAAACAGAGAGAGAGAGAGAGAGAGGGAGAGACAATGAGACAGAGAGAGAGACAGACAGACAGAGAGAGAATGAGACAGAGAGAGAGTGAGACAGACAGAGATAGAGTGAGACAGACAGACAGAGAGAGTGAGACAGAGAGAGAGTGAGACAGACAGAGATAGAGTGAGACAGACAGAGATAGAGTGAGACAGACAGAGATAGAGTGAGACAGACAGACAGAGAGAGTGAGACAGACACTCTTCATCAGTATCAATAAATATCAAAGTTCAAACTTTTCTCTTTTACAGTTTGTTTTATCCACTTTTTCAACATTAACTTATCATCACTCTTAACGTGTGTGTGCGCGTGTTACCTGTATCACAGCAGTCTCTGAGGTGTACAGGTGTTTGAATAAAGCCTGGTAGAGAACTTCTGCTCTGTTGAACAGACGCAGATCTGCAGCAGGCTGAAAACACACAATCATCATCATCATCATCATCATCATCATCATCACCGTGTGTGTGTGTGTGTATTCTCACCGTGTTGAGCACAATGTGGTGCAGGCAGCGAACTCCGAGGATGCAGTTCTCTGGTCTGTAGTGGTCGTTGAGGAGGAGGGAGGGGGGGAGGAGGTGGGACAGGTGAGGGGAGAGAGAGGGCCGAGTCACCTGCACGCACGCACGCACGCACGCACGCACACGCACACACACACACACACAGTTAGAGTGCATTAGAGTACATTCCTCACATGAAGCAGCAGCATCTATTCAGATGTAGTGTTATGCTGCGTTCACACCAAACGCGGCGTGAATTATTCGTGCGAGTAGATTACATACAAAGTCTGTGCACAGACGCAAGGAGACTGGATTTACGCGTGACACTGTGGCGTGATAGCCTATCAACGTTGAGTTGCTCCCCCTGTCATCACTGACTTCCTGCCATTGTTGAATCAGGAAATAAATCCTGTAGCCATCTGTGTTCACCCAGAGCTCTATGATACCTCATATCAACAGAGACCGGACCAAACTATGTGTATACATGTGTGTGTGTAAACCATACGGTACAAACAATGAATAGACGCTGCCGTGTTTACGTCTAGATGACGTTAGTCTGAGTGTTGGTGGAGCTGCTACAATGATAAAGCAACGACTCCAACAAAAATGCTCGAACTTAAGGGCTCTAACTCAAAAACTAAAAGGCTCTAATTTAAAGACTCAAACTAAAGGACTCTAAATTAGGAGCTCTAACATAAGAGCTGCAACTTGAAAGACCTAACTGAAGAGCTCTAACTGAAGAGCTCTAACTGAAGGGCTCTAACTGAAGAGCTCTAACTGAAGAGCTCTAACTGAAGGGCTCTAACTGAAGGGCTCTAACTGAAGGGCTCTAACTGAAGGGCTCTAACTGAAGGGCTCTAAATTAGGTGCTCTAACTTGAAAGACCTAACTGAAGGGCTCTAACTGAAGGGCTCTAACTGAAGAGCTCGAACTGAGGGGCTCTAACTGAGGGGCTCCAACTGAAGGGCTCTAACTGAGGGGCTCTAACTGAGGGGCTCTAACTGAGGGGCTCTAACTTGATGAATGATGAATATCGTTTTTTAAGTTATTAAATTTAAATGAGGGTCAAAGATCAAACTGACCTGCAGGAGCGTCCACGAAAACACCAACTTCACTGCTTCACAGCGCTGCCACGAGTCCCTGCAACTCACACACACACACACACACACACACACACACACGATTAGTCTCAAACTAAACTTCCTGTCGTGGATCTGGTTCACATTGATTCTCACTTGGTCAGTTGAGGCTGCAGGACGTCCAGGATTCCTCCCAGAAGTCCTCTGCTCCTCCTTCCCTCCTCCCCCCCTTGCTCCTCCCTCCTCTTGTCCCCCATCAGGAGGTGGGAGGAGTCTCTCCACCCCCCCGCCCTCAGCAGCACTTCCTGCAGGCTCTGAGCCGCCGCTCTGGAGGAGGAGCTGGTCCAGACCTGATCCTGGACACACGGAAACAGATCAACTTCATTATATTACACAATATAACACAATACAAACGTTTCGTACTACGTGGGTCAACATGGACACGTTCAAAGAGTTGACTAGTTTTACACCAGTGAGAAAGGACTTCTGATGGTTCAGAGACCTGGAAGTGAGTGACAGCGAACACACACACAGGAGCAGCCACAGCCAGCAGCAGACCAGTCGGACAGCCTGCGTTTCCCACAGTTCTTAGCAGCGCTGCGAGGGCGGAGCATACCGGTCCGGCTCTGCCCGGGATGCTCTGATAGACCGAGGCCGGCAGAGAGCCGCAGTCGTCCTCACACGGCGGCAGAGCAGCACAGCCAATCAGAGCGCCGACCAGAGCGCCGTACGCCGCCTGAAGCTCCGCCCATTCCTCATCGCCATTGGCTGAGAACAGCCAACATGGATCTGCTGTTTGGAAGAGCCGCTCCACACGGCCAATCAGAGAGCTTGTTTCTGAGTCGGAGGACGCTCCAATCAGCTTCTCCTGCAGCCGAGACAGGAGTTCTGTGATTGGAGGAAGGGAAGAACAGGGGAGGGGCTTCTCTGAGGAGGAGGAGAGATGAAAGTCATGAAGTAGAGATGAAAGCTCCATACTGAAGGGGACGAGGAGAGAGGGAAGGAAGAGAGATGAGATGATGGAGAGAGAGAAATGAGTTATTGATCACTTTCTACTCAATAAAACTCTGATCGCTTTACTTAAAACAGAGACAGAAAAGATCCAATAATCACAAATAATAATCATAAATAATAAGATCACACTTTTCTACAGATGTTAGTTTGAGGTCTGCAACAGACTTTTACTGATAAAGTCTTTGATCATTTGCATCCATTACCGGCCCTTTAAGAGGAGTCAGCAGCCAATCACTTTATTTAAATATCAATCTGATGTTTAATATCAGAAACACAGAGACAGACAGAGAGACAGAGAGACAGAGAGAGAGACAGAGAGAGACAGACAGACAGAGAGACAGAGAGAGAGAGAGAGAGACAGAGAGAGAGACAGACAGACAGACAGAGAGACAGACAGAGAGACAGACAGAGAGACAGAGAGAGAGAGACAGAGAGAGAGACAGAGAGAGAGAGACAGAGAGACAGACAGACAGACAGAGAGAGAGAGACAGAGAGAGAGACAGAGAGAGACAGACAGACAGAGAGACAGAGAGAGAGAGAGAGAGACAGA